GAGACCGACCTAAATATTAACTTATTATTATCTAAAAAGCTATTAAAACCTGTGTTAATTCTAATAATTCGGTATATTAATTGAATGTACTGACTAATAATTTAAGATATAGGTTGTGATGTAGACTATTACTCTCCAAGAATTTTTGTCAATTGTGCTTAGTTCGAAAATTCAAAGGGAACATGAAGAAAAAATGGCAGTTGTTGCACGCCACGGATTTTAAATCCTTAATGTACCCTTGCTTTTTTAATTGTGGTATTCTTGGAATATTTCCATACAAGATCAATGCTTCGAATTTCGAGATTTCAAAACCACGTTATATCTTGTCGATCGTGATTATTTGCGTTTCTTTTGTTTTATGCCTGATATTCAATCACGGTATTATTTTTAAAACAATTATCATTAGAAGCTTTGTTAGAAACTTTGAGGCTGTCTGTTTCTTTACGTTCAATAGTTTGATAATGATAATCACGCACATCTTATGTAATCCACGAATGCGCTTGCTACAGAAAATTTGGGAAATCTCTTCAAAACTTTTGTCGTCAGAAACCTATCAGAAGTTATCTAGATTGATCCATACCAAGGATGTGTTGAGTGTCATCTTGTTAGCCGTGCAACAATACATATATTTCTCTAAATTGGAATTATTTAAAACAAATAATTGGATTGAAAGATACATAATTATAACACTTATAATATATTTGCTTCAGCTTGAGTTTCATATGAATATGCTGTATGTAAATTGTGTTTGTGTATTAAAAGCCTGTTTCAAAAAAATCAACGACGATCTGAATTCCATGCAAAGATTCATGAGAAATGACATGAAATTATTTGTTCCTAGTTTAATTTGCTTAACGCAGAGTAATCAAATTTTTGTAATAAAACTCAAAACTTTAATGAAACAGCATCTAATGGTTAATGAAACTGTGCAATTGCTAAACATAATCTTCAGCTTGCAACTTCTTGCAACTGTAATCGTGACCTTTGCTGAAATTACTTGTGAAATATATGATTTCATAGTGCACTGGCAAGGCGAAATAATCATTACTTTTAATCAGCATCTTCTTGATATGTTTTTAACAACCATGGTGCATTATGTTATGAAAGTAATGCTAATTGTATGGGCCTGCGAGACCGGCAAGAATCAAGCCCGAGAGATTGGCACTACTATTTATGACGTACTTAATAGTACAAGAGATAAGCAAATCAAGGGCGAGGTAATTTTTTTGAATATATATTGTTTACGCAAAACAATTTTTTAACTATTTGATCTACTAAAATTATGCTAATAATTTTTTCGTTCTTGTATTTAATTGTTTTGCGATTTGATGTTGCAGTTGCAACTCTTTTCTTTGCAAATATTGCATTGCAAAAATACATTTATGACAAAAGGTCTCGCTATGGACGCGACGCTTCTCGCAGCAGTAAGTAATCAATTTGTTGCTTTAAGTAATAGGAGATGTATTGTTTATATTTTAAAGTATTGTTTTTAGATGGTGGGTGGTATCACGACATACGTGTTAATTTTTACACAATTTCTAATCACGGTACATTCTTGTGATGAAAAATCTGGAACCAGTGTTACAAATAATTCAGTTATATAAAATGAGATACATAATAAAAAAGAGATCTGTTCTATTTATTACATAGAATCATATATATACATAAGCATACATATTTAAATAAAAAACGTTCTACTATACCGTTAATATTGAGTTAAATTCATGTTATAATATATCTTCTGAGTTTTGTTGTAGTATAAAGAGAAATTGACTTGCAATAACATGTTGTTTATGAATTGCAACATGTAGCTTAAAAGATCAGCACCAGGAACGAACAAAATAAAAATGTAATAAAACATAGTTTTAATTAAATAAATTTGAATTATCCACTTTCAATTAATTAAATTTAATAAAATATTGGAAAAGGGCTTAGAGCAAGTAGCTAATTGTTATATTATATTTTAGTTAGTTG